GCTCTGGGCGGGGCCGCTTGGGGGGTGGCGGTTGAGCACCCCAAGCACCATCAACCGCTTCGGGCTGCGGGCCTCGCACCTCGCCGCCGCGCCCGCCAGCTGCTGCGCCGCGTCGTGTGCGTGCTGCTCGAGGCCGCCCGCAAACGCCGCCACTCCCGCCCGGCGCCTGATTGTCGCCCGCCGGCAGGGCCCTGCGTCTGGTGCGCCAGGGCGTGCATGAAACCGCCAATCTCCAAAGCACGCCGGGGGCATCGTGGCTGGCGCCCACTGGCGAATGCTGCCGATGCGCAGCACAGACCGTCCAGCGACTCTTTCGCACCTGGCGTGCGCAACGCGCCCAATAGGGACCTCCTGGACGCTCTGACAGCATTGCACCTGGACAGGCCGAGTCACGAAACACGCGGAACGGTCAGGGAGCATGGTCCTCACGCATGCTTCAGCGCTAGAAACTCATGACATTCCAAACATACACATACCGGGAGGCCATTGCCATTGTGCGCTGCGGTTGTCTGTGATCTTGTGACACTGCAAGCACGCGTCTGCACTAGCAGGAACTTGACAATTAAAATAGATCGTGCATCACCATCCAGTGAGGGGGTCATGCGGCAGCACGCTTTTGTATTCCTGCCGTGCGCCTGAGCGCGAGCAGCGGCGGTCGCGCCAGCGCAAGGCAGCGGCCATGGAGGACACAGCCGCCGAAGCCGCTATGCCCGACGGCGCGGTGTTCTGCAAGTCCTGTGACGCGGTGGTCGACGAGGTGGAGGAGTTCGGCGGCGCGCTCATGTGCGCCGCGTGCGGCACCGTGCTCGAGGAGGCAGGGCTGGTGTCCCACAGGGACCGGCCCCAAACAGAGGTCGTCCCAGCAGAGGGCTTCGGCGTTGTCGTGCGGCACGACGACTCGGGCGCCGTCGCGGGTGAGCGCAAGCAGCCGCCGGCCGGCCGCCTGGCGGCTGGCGCACCGCGCACCAGCCGCGGCGGCTCTGCTTTCCGGCGCAGCGCCCTCGGCGCCGCGAGTGGCGGCGGTCTCCAAGCGAGGCCGGCAGGCCGCTGACGGCCGCCTCGCGCCGCGGCGCCCTCTTTGCAGGCCGCATCGTGCGCAGCCAGAACCAGGGCGGCTCCCGAGACCTGCGCGGCGCAGGGGGCCGCCCCCTGCCGGACCTGCGGCCGCAGCTGGCCGCGCTCTCCGCGGGCGCGACCGCCGCGCGGCTGCCGCCGGGCGCGGCGCGCGACGCGGCGGAGCTGCTGCCGCTGGTGGTGGCGGCGTACGCGCGGAACGGGCGATACGTGGTGGCGCCCGTCACGGCGGCGGTGGCGTACCTGGCAGCGCGAAACCTCATGTGGGCCCCGGCGCGATGCGGGCGAGCCCGGCCGCTTCGAAAGCGTGCGCGCACGTTTGCGTGTTGCTGCAGCCGTATGCCAAGAGAAGGCCCCTGCGCGCCGGCATGCCGTGACGCCAAGCCGCCCACTGTCCGGAGCAGACCCGATCCGTTCCCTCCTTGTCCCTCATCCTCCTGCGCACCCGCACTCGCGCCCTCGCCCGCGCCCGCTTTTCTGGCGACAGGCACAGCGTGTCACTGTCGGAGATGGCGGTGGCTTTCGGGGTAAAGCCTCTGGAGGTCGGGCGCCACTACCTGTGAGCCCGCCAGCACGGCGCCGACACGAGCCCCGGGCAGCGCGGCTGCGCGGCGGGCACGCGCGCGGCCAGTAGGCGCCGCGTTGCCGGCAGCAATGGCGCGCACCCGCCCGCGCTGCTGCGGCCGGCGCAGACCCCATCCCACGCGTCGCGCAGCCCTCCCCTTTACCTCGCCAACTCCCGATGGAACCCTCACCCCACCACAACCCTGAACGCCCCCTTTGCTCCCTCTCACCCTGCAACACTTGACGTCGCCGCAGGTTGGCCGTGCAGCTGCTGTCTATGAAGCCGCCGCCGCCGCGCCTCCAGGCCCTCATCCTGCGCCACGCCTCCATCCTGCTGCCCCGCACCTTCCCCGAGTGCTCCGACAACCCCCGGGCGCACCCGGTGACTAAGCTGGCGCGAGACCTGGGTGACCTCATGACTAAGGTCGACGCGCTACACGGCCGCAACCCGACGGTCGCCTCGGCGGCGCTGCTCGCGCTCGCGTACAGCGCGCACGGCGGCGCCAAGGCAAGCTCGGCCGCAGCGGACGTGGCGAGCCTGCTGGGGTTTGACCGCCACACGGTGCAGCAGCAGGTGCGGGCCTACGAGGCCGAGGTCGCGAGGCTCGCGCCGCTGCTGCCGTTCGCGAGCGCGGCCGGCGCGGCGCCGCCGCGCGCGGCGCAGCTGATGCACCACACGCCGCTAATGCTCAGGCTGCACGAAGTCGTGGCGCGCGCGCAGGCCTATGGGGCCGCGGCGGCTGTGCAGCAGCAGCAGCAGCAGCAGCAGCAGCAGCAGCAGCAGCAGCAGCAGCAGCAGCAGCAGCAGAACGGACACAGGTAGGTGCGGGTCCAGAGGGAGTGCCGTCCTGACAAGATGTGTAGATTTGCAGTCCGTGCAGACAAGCCGCCCCCTGTGGCTTGCCAGGGGCCATTTGTCCCTAGTGTAATTAGCAAGCACGCCTCATCACCAATGTATGCATTTCTTATGTATATCAGTTTAATTTAATCCAAGGTTTGTCATCACAGTGTGGTGGAGGCATGCGAAGAACAGCAGCTCGTGATGACGGTCGCGATGCGACAGGCTCAGCAGTACAAGGGCTTGGGCAGTGTGGTCACTCAGGTGGCAGCGTCGCAGGTGGCGCGCTGTTTGCATGGACTGTAGAAAACAGGGTTCTTCTGACAGCTTACAGCAGTCACAGATCTCCGACGCCGACTGTGGACGAAACATACTGGCCCGGGAGGCGAGCGGGCGCTGTGCTGGCGTCCGGCAGCACAGCGGCATCCAACAGGGACTGTCTGTCATCTGGTCTCGCACAATGACATTAAATTCTATGATAGATTGATGCAATAACTTGTAGAATACCAAGTCGACCCCTCGAGGCTGTGGAGCTGGCACGCGGAGCTGGCAATCAAAACAGCAAGGAGCCTCGTGCCTTTAGCGCGATCAAGGAGCTCTAATATGTCGAATTGACAGATTTAAGACACACCCAGCACGCGAGAGCGCTCATCAGTAGGGATAGCACCCACGGCAGCGGTGGAGCCTGCTTCAGTGCGGATTCAGCGGCCTTTTCGAGACATACAAGCGCTCTAAACAATCGAGGTAATACATAAAGTAACTCTCTTGCAGATTTTTGAGCCTGTGCCAACTTCATGGCACGCGTGCTGGTGGAGGCGTTACAACAGTCGCACCCACTGCGCAGGTTTGAGCAGGCTGCTCAACGGCAACCTTGTGAAGCGGCGCACTCAGCAGAACTGCAATCCCAACAGCGCCAGTGGGCTGCAGCTATAGGCTGTGGTGTCTGACGACGGCGTTGGCGTGCAATCATGCCGTTGAGCATCAGCAACGTCCCAGCCTCCGGCGGCGCCACTTGGTGGGTTTGTTTACGTGAGCCTTCAAGTATACAGAGATGTGCGGCGCCATTTGACAGCAATGCAGTACAAATTGTGTGCGGTGTCAGCCTCAATCTCAAGCCAAACCCCTGCTCGATCACACCGACCAAACTGCAGTGATGCCACTGGCTTGCAGCCTGGCAGCAGGGCAGGCGCCGGGGCTGGTGATGCTGCAACAACTGCAGCCCCTTCGTATTCGAATGGGCAATTGGAGGCGCGCCAGCAGCAGCAGCAGCAGCAGCAGCCGTCAAAGTCTGGTCCGCAGGCCTTTGCAGGTGGATTGAGTAGCAACGAAGCACCAGCGGCCGTCCCCCGGCTGCCGGCCGCCACGTCATCGGCCCGCAGCTCGCCGCGACAGCCTCCCTCTGCACAGCAGCAGCACCAGCACCAGCAGCAGCCCAGGCCTTTGCGGGTGCCTCGGCCCCCCATGCCAAAACTTGACATGTCGCGGCTGAAGGTCAGCAGCACGTCAGCAGGCATGTTTGCAAAAAACCTGCCAGATGAGCCGCACCAACAGCAGCAGACGCCTGATGCGTCGCAGCGCGCGTTTGAGGCGGCGATGGGCCGGCCCATCAACCCAGCGGCGCCTGTCGTGGACAACCGCTGCTACGTCTACAAGGCGGTGCAGCCACAGGTAGGTGTGCCGTGCGCGTGCGTGCGCGTGCGCTTGCAGTGGTGTGCGTATGCGTTCCTGAGCATGTGCATGTGTGTGTCTCTCTGTGTGTGTGCGTGTGTGTGTGTGTGTGTGCGCGCGCGAAAGGGTGTGTGTGTGTGTGTGTGTGTGTGTGTGTGTGTGGCCACAATTCCGGCATGACAGCATCTCGCTGCAGTCAAGCCGAGCTGAATCAGCACATACGCAATGTGCCTGTGCGTCTGTAAAGGTGTGTTCCCGCCCCATCGCTCTCATCTCGGCCAAAACTATCACCAAAACACTCCAGGAGTGCCGAGACGCTGAGTCCCTGATCTCCCGCGCGGCGCCCTCCGACGCGCTGCGCGTGCGCGCGTTGTGGGACGCGCTCCTCGTCGCGCGCCGCGACTGCGAGGCCATGGCCGCGCGCGGCGTGCGGGTGGCGCGTGACATCAGCCGGGACTGGCAGGAGACCGTATCTGACCTGATTGACCGCGTCGTGGCGCAGGACAACGAGCTCGCGGCCCTCAGGCCGCAGCTGAGGCAGACCCAGGCGGCCCTGTCCGCGGCGCAGGCGGCTGCCGCCGCGGCGGGCCCCCTGGAGGAACTCAACGCGCAGGTCGCGCGGCTCAGGCGCCACAGGGACCGGCTGGCGCGCGACAACGCTGACCTGGCGGCCGCGCTCGGCAAGACGCAGGCCGCGGCGGCCGCCGCCGCGGCCGAGGCGGCGGCGGCGGGCGGGGAGGCCGCGGCGGCGCGCGGCAGGGCGCAGGCGCTGTGGCGGCAGCACGCGGAGCTGCTGCAGCATCACATTGGGGCCGCTGCCTACGCAGAACAGCTGGAGTCCGAGCTCTGCCGCTGGCGCGCGGCGCCCGCAGGCGGGGCGGC